TTTAACTATCTATCTAAATACGTAGTACATATACGATCAATCATGCCATCTCATTTACAATTCATTTAAGGGTATATGGTTTTTAAAATTGTATAATTATTTATTGTATATATATTATGTCATTTAACTTAAGCCAGTTGCAAAACCCTCACAGAAAAGCGGCTGCTCTTAAGCATTTGCTCTTCCGGTTTGGTTTGGTCTCTAAAAAAAAAAACAAAAACACCTAATTTAATATTTATTTGGCTCAATTTAGTTAGTGCTCCTCAATAGTCGTATATCAGCTAAAAAAAAAAAAAAAAAAAAAACAACAACTTAAAATCGTAATTTAATTATAATGCCATCTTAGTAATTCGTTGTTTATTCTATTTCTTCTTTTTTTCTGTTTCTCTATCACCAATGTAGACTCAGTCCAACAGTCAATTGAAAGAATTATTAACGACGGTACATTATTATTAAATCTTCTTTTCTATTATCCTGTCCCCTTAAAAACAACAAGCCTTTTACTGTTACTCATATACGTACACACACACACACCCACCCACCCAAAAAAAAAAAAAAAAAACAACGCCTGCATTGGTTCTTGCTATCCTCTATAATTTAGATGGCTTTTGACATACATGTATTTTATATAGTTTTAGTTTTCAACATTTATGTATGTTATGTTCTTTTGTTCGCATTATCCTTACCATCAACGCATTGGTAGTGCTTGAAGATCTGTGTCTAGATCACGCCCGGATGTCTCTTGCCAGCCCCCTATCCATTATACCATACAGATCGTGTCACTAATGATTGGCGCCTAGCCCATAAACACATCTAAAACAATGTGCTCTAACTGTGCCTTCATAAATGCTCTAACCTAACCTTGGCGGCTATTAACGTATCCAATATCCAGCATGTGGCATATTTAATTAATCGCTTTGTCTGTTTTTGTATTCCTCTCTCTCTCTCTCTTTGTTTTTCTCTCTCTATCCTTGCGCAATGCCGGCTCATATTTTAGAATCCGTGCAAGAGTCCCTGGAGCGTCGCTTTGGTCGTGTCGGCGGTCGCATTCCCGTCACACCCTCGGAGTCGTTCCAGAAACGCATCTCTGGCGCCTCCGAGAAGGATATTGTGCACTCCGGTCTGGATTATACAATGGAGCGTTCCGCACGTGCCATCATGAAGACAGCCATGAAATACAACCTGGGTCTGGATCTGAGAACCGCTGCCTATGTCAACTCAATTGAGAAGATCTTCACCACATACCGTGACGCCGGTTTGGCCTTCTAAGCGCTGCAGCTGCTAAAACTTAACTAGTTTATTAATCAACCGATGAACTCAAAAGCAAACATAAACATATTGCATACGCGCGCACCTCTGTTTTTGGTAGAAAATGTCACAAAAGCAAATTCATTTATATGAAGCAACAAATTATTAGTTTAGCTAAAAGATTTGTTCAACTTTCTAACGTCATAACGTGTTTTAAATTAAGCTAAAGCAAAAACAAGAGCGAGCTTAAATTGCTTTTACAATGATTGTTGTTGATTTTCTGTAAGTTTTTAATTTTTAATGAGCGTAAAAGTGAAGCAATTGCATTTTTCAATTATGTATCGTATCGTACGAAACGCTCCGTTGCCGCAACTTTTAAAGTAATTAAATACACACATAAACTAAATAACTAAACAATTGCATTTTGTTTTTGTTTTTTTTTTCTTTTAATTTTGTTTTTATTAAAATTGTCAATTGTCGTTGGCCACTAAAATGATCACAATATTAATTTTAGTCTCAAATGGTGCTCAGTTCGTTCGTCGAGCTTTAAATTACGTATACATTGTATAATTGATTGGAATGTATGGATACTACGATATAGTTTTTAGTTAAAAATGATTGGGCCTACACATAATACTATAAGTACACTTTTCTTTTTGCAAACGCTACAAATTACAGGATATATATATATATATATATATATACCTGGTATAAATTGGAAGATTTTGTGGTCATAATTGATTCGCAATATTAAAACTTTCAACTTAACTAATAATGTTTTGTGTGCGTATTAACTTGGTGCTTGTTCCGTATCCAATAGCTTCAGTTAGATTGCCAAAGATTTGGGAAACAGCTGCTGTTTCACATAGTCATCAATCATTTCCATAAGCAAGGCGCGCGTTACTTTTGGATGCTGTAGCACATATCCAAAGTCCTTTAGTTTCGTATTGTCCAGATAGAGATGCTTATGATGCAGCTGTTCCTCGTCTAGGTAAGGTGTGAGCGGCGTATTGTCAATGCCATTGTGTTGACAAATCTCAGCCCAGGGCGCCAGGTGCTTATCATTAATTTCACCCACCGTATCGCTTGGATAGAGCTAAGTAAATGCATATGAATATGAAGTGATTAAATAGAAATGAGTCATCGGTCAAAATTGATGACATACCTTAGTCAGATTGGACATAACAATGCCAAAGTATTCCACATTGATTTCAAAAATATCGACAAGCAAATCGCTGATGCTGCCCTGCGTAGACGCTGAGTCATCCACAATGTTGTAGACCTGACCAACCGTTTTTGGACTTTCAGCTAATTGCCAAATCGCAGCACATACGTCGCTCACATGCACCGTATTGAGGCGCATGGCGTCGTTCCACAGTAGTTTCATTGTCTCGCCGAGATATTTGTATATGGCTGCTATTATAATGCGTGGCACTGTGGAGTTAGTTACATGATTGTTATATACAATAACAGATTATGATTGTGACGGCGACTCACTTAAGTAGCGCTTATCGCCAATGCCGTAAACAACAGGCAGGCGCACCACCGTATAACTAAGATTGTTAATGTGCGCCAGCTCCTTTTCCACTTTCAGCTTTTGTTTGGCCACACCCGTCCAGGGTTCCAGCTTGCAGTCTTCCTTTAGCGGTGTCTTCTCGCTGCTGTTCACACAGCCCGAGCTGAGCTCCACATAGCGCTTGGTCGGCTGACTGGCAGCCTCATTGGCACAGTTGATGCTCAGCTTGTAGATGCCCTCCTTGTAGACGGCATCATCTTGATTGGAACGCGTCTCGGCTGCACAGTTGATGACCACATCCCAGCTCCGATTCGTTGTTGGGTGTGGTGCAAACGCCAATTTGCATGAGGCTGCAAGCCATGAAGGACACCCACAAAAAAATGTTGCAAAAACCAGTTTCAGTTTGTGTAGATAAGGTTGCGTGTGTGGGCTGTATTATTACATACCGGCATTAATTAAATTCGCGCTGCAAAACTCAACTTTATCACTAGCGAAAGCCTTGCTTTGTTGCTCATTCAGCCAGGCCATTTGCGGCGGCGTCTTATCAACAATGCGTATTTCCTGTGTCAGCTCATTCTTCAGCAAGTAAGTCACCAAGTTGCGTCCAATAAAGCCGCAGCCTACAGATACAGTCGAGATAAGTCGCAGCTATCGCTCCGATTGCCATTGCAATTGCACTTACCGCCCAAAATTAAAACAGTCGGTTTCTCAGACATACTGCAACGACGACGCAACCGACAACGAGACTACGACGAATGACTAGACGCTTGCTTCTGTATAGTTTCAAAACCTTTAAATTATATGTAAACGGGACGCGAATCAAATACAAAGGCAAGCGTTAGGGCTGAATCGTTGTACTTGTTCAGTTCAATGAATCGATTGAACCAGTTGCTATCGAACTAGTCAAAATGCCGTTTGGTTCAACAAGTGGAGGGTTCATTTTAGAGATGACACTTGCAAACAAACAATTTGAAATGTATTTAATTTAAGTAAATGCATTATTTAATTTAAATTTCTCAAATTTGCAAAGGTAAAGGAAAAAGAAATTTTACCTTTGTCAATTATGTAGTAAAAACATGCGAATTATATGAATAGATCTTGGCACTACATGGTGAATTAAAGTCTATGAGGTGTTAGTTGGACCACAAGTCGTATTTGGGAGCTCTAAATCCGCGAACTATGACATCTGCCTGCCACCAACCAGTCGCTTGCTCTGTCTCCTTCATGCACACTTCCTCATTGCCATCTGTTGGATGCAAATTCAAAATGGCAATATCCTCGTATATGGCCAACTGCTTACAGCATTCCAGCCCTGCGTTGTCTTTCCCGTTGCCATGCAACAAATGCAAATGCACATTCTTACAACTGCGTGGCAACTGGCTAACAACATCCTTAGGGATTAGTTTCCAAGCCTCGATCTGTGCCTCCTTTCCATGAGTCATCAGTTCGAGCTCCAGGAAAACATTAGTGGCCTTAAGCTCTGTGGACCAGAGCGCATACAGATCCTCGCAAGTGAGCAGCTGCAGAAGTGTTTGGTTCATGGGTCCGTCTGCCATGGAGTGCATATCACCGTGGTATTTGGATATGGATGTGTGCGGTATGTGTATTGTGTAGGACTCTGCCGGCATGAATGTGTTGTTCCCGAATAGAAACCGTAAACTCTTTACCGCTTTGCTGCTTTTAAATGTAGTTCGTATTAGCTGAAAATAAAACAATTTTTGTTCAGTTTTGGCTACTGTTGCTCAAGTTGTTTATATTTACTTCTCGCATATTGCTGATGGCCTCCTTGGTCTCCTTAGCCAAGGATCGTTGCTTTTGTAACTGATAATGCTTAAAAGATTCCTGTGCATTATCTGTTTGATTAGTTTCATCCCATTTCTCAACATAATATTTGTATGTTTTATAGACGAATGGAATTTGACTGCGGTGGAATAACAGGAAGTCCAGTATGCTATTTACAAACTCAGCAACAATTCCTGCTGTTAAAACGTCGACGTCGTGGAGCTTAAGCTCAATGTTTTTTGGGTTTTGTGCCATTTATTTATAATTTTAACAATTTCGCGGGTTTCTTTAACAAACAACAAACTTGAGTTGTTTGTGTTAGAGATGATATTGAGCATTGAAATGTTATAGTTCAGCTCTAAGCTAGTTCGTTTGTGTGGGAATATCGATATTTTAGTGAAACAAGCTGGACTATCGATATACTCTGTTTATTTTGAAAACATTAAAATTACTGTTAATTTCAAGTATTTTATTTTTCTAGGTTCAAACCATTTTCAATTTACATTATCCTATAATAAAACTACCAGTAGAGGTAATTACATTTTCGCAGAGTTAAATTTTATAACAAAAGGCATATTGAAAATATTATTTTGTGAAGCTTAAATTCTTTCTGTTAATACGAGTGGAAAGCATTTTGCGGGCAACGCTAGGCTGGCTGGATTTATCTTAATCGTTGAAATGTCTGGACTGCTTATATTATAACGCAATAATATATTAGACAGCAATATGAAACCAAAGCCTCGTACTAAATTTTGTCCAATGCAAGTACGTTTTCCTATACTAAAAGGTAGAAACTGTGGAAGATTCTTTCTCAGTCGAAACTTTGGTAGTTCATCAGTCAGTTGATTATTTGCATCAGATTTCGTTTTTAGGTTTTTTAAATGCAAATATTGCAATCCAAATGTACTATCGTTTTCGAACTCTACGCCTGAATCAGAGTCTTCAGAGAATTTTCTCTTATCAGAAATCGTTGATGATCTTTGAGCATTATTTGGACATTTTTGCTCCAAAAATCGTTCAGGACAAAAGTGATTGGGATTCCTCCAACTTTCCTGGCTCATGTTTAGTACATAGTTGTTTATAAACACAATTGTGCCCTTAGTCACTCCGAATCCCGAAATAACCGAATCCTCGGTAGCCACATGCGGCACAATGGGAGATGATGAATAGCGCAGAACTTCGAATATTGTGGCCATGGTGTATGGCATTTCTTCCATGTCTTCCAAAGTAATATTGCGCTTTCCATTGTGAGAGATAACATCTGCTTCGCATTGAATATTTCGACCAATAACTGGATCCTTGGCTATATAGGCAAGAGCCAGCATTATCAAATTCCCAACAGCTGAATGGCCACCGATAAAGTCCTCCAGCATAAAGATAATTGTATTGCGACACATATTTTTGTTTTCTATCAAACTTTTCAGTAGTGCATCCGTGAAGTCGTTGTCCGGCTCCTCAGTATCGATATTCAGCTCCCTTTGGTTCAGAACACGCTCCAGAATAAATTTACGTATTGTTGTTGACCAATACGCAATGCGGTTCGTGTGTTGCTTGTAAAATGGTAACAACCATGGCAAAAAGTCCAATGGATGCCCTTGGTTAATTTCCCAAAAAATTTCATCGAAAAATTGTACAATCTGTTGGAATTCCATATCGTCATAATCAAATCGCATTGAACACATATATTGGCTAAACATATTTGCGCATGTTGCGTTCAGAACTGGCTTCAAATCGAGCGGCTGTCCGGGTATAATAACTTTTTTCAGCTCTTCCATCAAAATGTCAATTTCAGCACAACCAATACCTGACATCTTGCTGAAATAAGAGGATGATTCTCGCGGAGAGCAGTGGCGCCTCGCCAAGTTGCGGCGTTTTTGCTGCAGCTGCGACCAATCGCACAGAGCTAGAGAGTTGTTACGGTCACCACCAAACAGTTTGTGGTAGCGTAGAAAGTCCGGCCGACCGCCAAAGAATTTCCCATTCTTGTTAAGGACCTCTCGTATTAAATCCAAGTTGTTAACGACAAGGCAGCGTGTGTGACCAAATGTTAAGGAGTAAATGTCGCCATAATGATTTGCTAATGTTCCAAAGCCCTTGAAGGGATTGTCAAAACGGCCAATTATATCCAAGTTGCCGAGTATGGGCCAAGGATGTGGACCAGGTGCCTGAACGAATTCACGTTTAACATTTTCCTCGTTTGAATGTACAATCACTTTTCGTGTGCGTTTGAATATTATAAATATGTATGACGCGACGAGCACAATTATTAAACTTGCAAGGGTTAAATAAAATAATTCCAACATCATTATAGCCAATAACACATTTAGATGAAGAATGTTACGCAGACAATTTTACAGGTATCTAAAAATAGTTGACAGAAATTTATTACATGTACATGAATCTACAGGTGCCTTAATAATTATGTACCTGTTAATGCCGATCACTGAAAATGAAGACGTTATTTCAGTTATTTCGTCTGCCTCTTGGCGTATATTCTTTGGATCTTCGGAAAATTTAATTTTTCTTGTTTTCTAACATTGAACTAGATATTAAATTAATTTAATTTTTAAAAAACTTGTTATCTGCTTGCAATGTCCTTCCTCTTTGTGGTGAATATGTTGAGTAGAAAATAACTACTGTAATAAGATGCTATGTTAAATGTGATGCCATGTTAAAAAGTACATAACAACGGAATGTTTATCAACGGCTGCTCCTAACGTTTCAATCGTAATTTAAACGCCTATTACACTGTTAATTGTTATCTAACAAAAATACATAATTGCATTCTCAAGATAATATATAAATAACGAAACAAGTGTTGATTAATATGTTAAATTTAAACTAAAAGTAGGCGCCCAAAATATTTTCTTTTTGCCGTGCAACCATGTTCGCTACAAAGTGTACACACTGGCAGTGTAGCCGCAGCCAACTTCATGTTGGTTATGACTAGTAAAAATCTGTTTGTGTTGCCGACAAAATAAAATAATTTTCGTTTGACTTTATCAAAGAAGACACGCAAAATGGTAAATCGGCCTGTGACAAGGCTTAGTTTTATAAGTTTAATTGAGTGCTGGCGTTTTGCAGGGTCAAAACCAATCGGCACAAGGTGGAACTGGAGACAAGAAGGATGACAAAGACAAAAAGAAGAAATATGAGCCACCAATTCCGACTCGTGTTGGCAAAAAGAAGCGTCGCGCAAAGGGTCCCGATGCGGCCATGAAGCTGCCGCAAGTGACGCCCCATACACGGTGCCGTCTAAAGTTGCTGAAATTGGAGCGCATTAAGGATTACCTTATGATGGAGGATGAGTTTATACGCAATCAGGAGCGCCTGAAGCCACAAGACGAGAAGAACGAGGAAGAACGTTCCAAGGTGGATGACTTGCGTGGCACACCAATGTCTGTGGGCAATCTAGAGGAGATTATCGATGACAACCATGCCATTGTGTCGACATCCGTGGGTTCCGAGCACTACGTCAGCATTCTGTCCTTTGTCGACAAGGACCAATTGGAGCCTGGTTGCTCTGTCCTCTTGAATCACAAGGTTCATGCTGTCGTGGGTGTTCTAAGTGACGACACAGATCCCATGGTCACGGTTATGAAGCTGGAGAAAGCGCCACAGGAAACCTATGCGGACATTGGTGGTCTGGACACGCAAATACAAGAAATCAAAGAGTCTGTCGAGCTTCCGCTAACGCATCCCGAATACTACGAGGAAATGGGCATTAAACCACCTAAGGGCGTCATTCTTTATGGTCCTCCCGGCACTGGTAAAACTCTTCTCGCTAAGGCTGTTGCCAATCAAACTTCTGCGACTTTCTTGCGCGTTGTCGGCTCAGAGCTTATACAAAAGTACTTGGGAGATGGTCCCAAGTTGGTGCGAGAGCTGTTCCGCGTGGCCGAGGAGCATGCGCCGTCTATTGTATTTATTGATGAAATCGATGCTGTTGGCACGAAGCGTTATGACTCCAACTCGGGCGGAGAACGCGAAATTCAGCGCACCATGTTGGAGTTACTCAATCAGCTCGATGGTTTTGATTCTCGCGGAGATGTTAAAGTTATCATGGCAACGAATCGGATTGAAACGCTGGATCCGGCGCTTATACGTCCGGGACGTATTGATCGTAAGATTGAGTTCCCACTGCCCGATGAGAAGACCAAGCGACGCATTTTCACCATACACACCTCGCGCATGACGCTCGCTGAGGATGTGAACTTGAATGAGCTAATTATGGCCAAGGATGATCTATCTGGCGCTGATATTAAGGCTATTTGCACAGAAGCTGGTCTAATGGCATTGCGCGAGCGCCGCATGAAAGTGACCAATGAGGACTTTAAAAAATCAAAGGAGAGTGTTTTGTACCGCAAGAAGGAAGGCACGCCCGAGGGATTGTATTTATAAGTCAAATCAACTTTCAGTTAATATATTATAATTCCTAAACACACACGCATTAAATCAGGTTAACACATAAATCATTTCGCTTGCGACTTGAATAAATTTGTTGTCTTTTGCAGCGCTTCGTCGCAGTGCTCCAATAAATTGTCTATATAGACATTTTGTTTTTCGGATACAACGCTAAGTGGCTCGCTTTGATGCTCCAAATATTTAAAGTGGCTTTTATCTGTGGGGTTTGATAACTTCATTTCCTCGTAGGCCAGATGCTCCTTTGATAAAGTTTCGTCCATATTTGAGGTTTTGAGTACGTCAAAAAAGGCCGGGAACTTGGCTAATTCAATTCCTGTTCGTAATCCATCGACATAGCCTTGGTCGAAGCTGGTCTGAAACACTTGTTCGCGTCCATCTGCAATTCCATCAGCATAATTTATCTGTAGAAAATATAGGGTATTCAGTATTCTCATATCAGGATTAAGCCCTGTAAATTCCCAGCTGATTTCGAAGTTATGGGACTGCACACTTAACATAGTGCTTCTTCTTCTTCTTATTAACAGACGCGTAAAGTAAGCTGACAGGCAACTCGGTTCCCACTTTGAAGCACGCTATTACCATACCTTTTCTACTTTTTCCTGTATCCGTTGGTAATTAGTTGTATTGACGGCCTTAAAATCAGTTTCGTCATCTGAACTGTGTGTTTCTGACATTTTAGCACTGCAAAATCGTAAGTTATTGTAAAAATACAACAGCTTAATTTTATTTTGTCTATTGAAAACAAAAACATTCGCTTGTGCACAATGCCCTTACTTAGCAGCCTGATAACAGAAATGCTCCTCATTTACTGTGTTGCTCCACATTTGACATAATTAAGCCCACCAATCTTTTTGAATTTTTCAATTGCAGATCACCATGGCAGCCGAAATCGCTCAACTTTTGCTCGCTGTAATCCAAGGAATTCCGGGCGGTGCGACAAATGATGACCTAACCAAAGCATTGTCGGATATGTCCGCTGCTTCGCGGGTCGAAGGTCTCAATGTACTGTTGAAGCAGGGGAGCATAGAGGTTTTGAAGAAAGGAGAGAAACTTATTTATCGTGCCAAGGATCCCCAAAAGAAAAGCGCACTACCGAAAGACGCTGATAATGAAGAGAAGATCGTCTATAGTATAGTTGAAGAGGGCGGCAACAAAGGCATTTGGATACGTGATATACGCATGAAGTCCAATTTGAACATGACACAGTTAAACAAAATCCTCAAGAATCTGGAAACAAAGAAACTGATCAAAGCCGTTAAATCCGTGAATGTAAGTGAATGCTAACTATAAAAGAAATCATAGGAACTACATTTGAATATTCCCAATCAAGGCCAGCAAAAAGAAAGTCTATATGCTATACAACATGGAAGCAGATCGATCAGTAACGGGCGGTGCCTGGTATCAGGACCAGGATTTTGAAGTCGAGTTCGTGGATGTGCTCAACCAACAATGCTTGCGATTTCTTCAAATGAAACGTGAGGGTGCCGAAAAGAAACGCGATGGACCTCTGGCGTTTAAGCAAATGTCCTGTTGCACTGTGAAGGAGGTGCACAAATTCATTTCAGATTTGGGTATTAGTAAAGTCAATCTAGATGAGGATGATTTGGAGACCATACTGAAAACCGTAGTCTATGATGGCAGCGCAGAACGTATACTACAATCAGATGGAACGTACGTGTATCGTGCGGTTAATTTACCTCTGCCGGCACCTGGGTTGGTTCAGATGCCATGCGGCATATGCCCCGTGATTAAGAATTGCTCCAATTGTGGCGATGTTACCGCTATTAATTGTCAATATATGAACGATTGGTTAGAGTAAAAATGCAAACATTGTTTTATATTGTTACGCTAATTTAAGTAGTGTTTATTCAGAAGTTATTTTGACAGCATTCGAGTTCATTATACATATTCATACATTAATGGGTGCCAAACTTACATATTAAGCGAAAAACATTTCCCAACTTAAAATTTGTACTGTACATTCAAATACTAACCAAACCCAACTGCGTTCCCATACAAACAATTTATCGATTAATCGGAAGTCCGATAGAATTTTGCTCGGTCTGGAAACAGTATAAATACGTGGCTGTCGATTCTGTTATTAAATTCCAACAAAAGCTAAGCACAAAAAAAAAATAATAATTTAGAATTATTCACAGTAAATATGCGATTATAAAAATTTGTGCGTCCAAGGTAAATTACGACTGTTAGCTGAAGTGCGATACGAAGCTTATTAAAGGGAAAGACAGTAACTCCTCAGTATCCACAATGGGACTTTGCAAATGTCCAAAACGATTGGTGACAAACCAATTCTGCTTCGAGCATAGAGTAAATGTTTGTGAGCACTGCATGGTCCAGAGCCATCCCAAGGTAGGTTTGCAACCCAATCTATAAGTGATAAATAACTTTTTACCAATCAATTACTCTCGTATAGTGCATAGTGCAATCGTATCTGCAATGGCTACGTGATAGCGACTATATATCCAATTGTACGCTGTGCGGCACCGGCCTGGAGCAGGGCGAATGTGTACGTCTGGTGTGTTACCGTAAGTGCTTGGTATCCGTGGCAGTCGTGAAATGAAAGATCATCGATTATTTAATGTTCATTCCTAGATGTGTATCACTGGGATTGCTTGAATGCACGTCAAGCCGGTTTGCCTGCTAATACAGCGCCTAGTGGCCATCAGTGCCCAAGTTGTAGCGTCGAAATATTTCCAACATCTAATCTGGTCTCACCCGTGGCAGATGCACTCAAACACTATCTGGCAAAAGTGAACTGGGGACGAAATGGACTTGGTCTTGCCTTGGTAAATGCTCAACGGGATGCGATAGTTAAACAGTTTGCATGCTAATAAATCAATTTGCAGCTTTCAGATGATCAAAACAATAGTTTCAAGTCAAAAGCTATTGCTAGCCAGTCGGCCGTTACGAACATAACCAAAGTGCATCATCATTCCGCTGGCGAGCGTGAGCGTATGAAACCGAATGGAGGCGTTGATAGCTCCAGTCCACATTCCGTGCTGTTAATGGATGCATTTAATCCGCCTAGCTCAGGCGATTTACATGGTCCGTTGTACGTTGTTTCAATCTGTGTGCCATTTTAAACCATTTTCTTTTGCTTTTTTATTTTATTAGGAACCAGCAGCCGGCGTCCTTTAATGCCGCGCCAGCCGCCCATAGGTGGCACGGATCGTGATGATAATAAATACCAGCGCCGCACACCGGCTGAGCTATTCTCGCGATGGACGCGTCGCTTTTATGCACCGTCATCACGTCCGCCTTGGCGTCGCACCTGGTTCTTGGCACTCAGTGGCATTTTGGCCTTCATTGTGTTCATCTATTTAATGGCACTGCTAGGTCGAGGCGGTGGCAACGAAAGTTTGGACGACAGCTGGAATAATCCAAACCCCAACCAGAACCACTACGAATAAATGTATGTGTATTGTCAACATATATCGAAAAGCCCTTCCCTTCCTCTGTTAAAATCAAAACTTATTTATCTAACCCAAATATTGCAAAAAAAAAACTTAACGCTAAGCTTTTAAAGTTACTTTTTAATCAACATGCGGCTTAATGTTTTGCACGCCGCTCACTTTAGGCGAGTTGGGAGTTTTACGTTTGGGCGCATCCAGGACCTCATCATATTCGTGCAGCTTCTTGGCTAGGAAATACATCTCAGCCAGCGCTATAACTAATGCTACAATGACACCAAGCAGGATTCGAAAACCAAAGGGCAGGGGACCGACCATCAAATTGACACCAAAGAAACCAAACGTAAATCCTGCCGCTACCGAGAAGATGAACTGAGCCACGGCTATGATTTGCTTATTGATGCTTTTTACTGCAAGAGAGACGAGCATTAGCTAGATTTAATTAGATTGATTTAACCTGATTGATTAACTCACATTGATAGGCAACGGTGTCCTCGGGAACATGCTTCAGAGTTGCATCAACATTTTTGGTCATCTTTTGGTATTCACGATTTTGCTGCTCCTCGCGCAAGCGCTGGCAACGCGCCTCAAGCTCGGGATTACGCGGCTTAAACTCATTCTCTGGAAGTATGAGCTCGCAACTTTCAATTAGCTCATAGAGAAATACATTAATTACATTGTTTTTGCGCAGCTCAGTCAAAGTTGAGTTAAGCCAGTGCAAGTCGTTCAGATATAAAAAGTGGCCATCAACTGGCCGCTGCTGCTGTTCCTGCTCTTTCTCTGGGGCTTCAGCTGTTTCTTGGGGCACGTCTGGGACATCTGCTGTTAGTTTATCCAGCAGCTTTGTATCAATCTGTGGTCGCTTGAAGACAAGCTCACTGTCTTTCAAGATTCTGATACTTTTCGGAACGCTGTAGCCGTTTTTCTCCAGTGCAGTGGCCACATTTGCCGGCAGCTCTTTCAGATGTTCCTTCTGTGCGTTTAGCGATTCCAACAACTTCTTGGATGGCCGGAGCCGCACACGAGTGTCCACAATAGTTGACTTCAGCATTCCGCTGGCCTACTTATTTGTTAATGTTTAGCTTAAGTTGCAAGTCCGAGTAAAGTTCGGCTATTTCCTCCTCCTTTTCCTCGAATGAGTTATCAATTCTTTGATAACTGTGCTGCAGATTGTTTATAAACTCTGCTTTACGTTGCTCACGTGCAAGTCTTGCCTCTTGTAGATTCGCGCTGGGCTGGGTACATAAAAAGATTACTCACAATTCTGTTGGTAAATATTTGATTATTAGTTAAATATACGCACTGTTCGTTCAACTTTGGCTTTGTCCAGAAGCGCCTCAACGCCACCAAGCAAATTGTTAACACCTGTGGCAAGTTCGGTAAGCTTTTGATTACCTAATGCAATGCACCGCTCTGAGAGGTCGTATTTAAGTGAGCCCACAATTTCGGTGACCTGAAAAAGTTTCTCGACTTCGCTATCGTTGCGTTTTACTTCGAAATTATCCAAAAATGTTTCAATTTCGCCGTTAACAAATACGCGATGGTCTAAAATGCGATGCGGCACCTTGTATAACTCTGTAAGAGTTTAATTCAACTTATATACGTTAGCGAGGAATAGTTCTCCAAAACGTACCTCTTCCAACTTGGCTTATCATTATTTTTCTTCATAAAACTCCTATTTTTTTGCTTCTGTCACATGAGTGGGCCGACGATATACCGCAATTGACTATCGATAAATTTCTGACATTGGTGACATTCCTGCAAAAGTTAATCTACAAATTTGAAATAAAAAATATGGAAAGCAATTTGCTGCTGCCTAAAGTGGTCTGTATGGCAAAATGTTGTATAATTAAGTATTAAGAAATTTCTATTGCATTGAATTCAAATTGAACTACGCTTTCAGCAAAAAATCGATATCACAGAAATCATTCATTTTTGAAGAATTATATATCGATACCGTATTTGCAACTCATCTGCATTCGCTCTGAATGCGACGTGCAGAAAGTCATCCACCAACTGCCCAATTACCATTTCGTTTATATTTTCTGAATTTCTCATTATGAGCGAAGAATTTAAACTGCCGAAACGATCACGAAAGCGTACGCGTGACGTGAAACGCAAGGCCCGTCCTGAATTGGATGGAGATACCGCGTGGATTGCGATGCGCTATTATGAGAAGTTTGAGCCATTTTGGGACTTTACGGATAACCTGGAAAGAATTGATAATGCAACAATAACATGTGATGAATTCATTGAACGCTACGAGCGCCCATATCTGCCCGTAATAATAACCGGTTGTGCCGACGGCTGGCTGGCCCAGGAGAAGTGGACGCTCTCCCGGCTTGCCAAGAAGTATCGCAACCAGAAATTCAAGTGCGGCGAGGATAATGAAGGATATAGCGTCAAGATGAAAATGAAATACTATGTGGAATATATGCAAGGGACTCGCGACGATAGTCCGCTTTACATATTTGATAGCAGCTTTGGCGAGCATCATCGTCGGCGAAAGCTGCTGGAGGATTATACGGTGCCCAAATATTTTCGCGATGATCTCTTCAAGTATTGCGGCGAGGATCGTCGCCCGCCATATCGATGGTTTGTAATGGGTCCAGCTCGCTCCGGCACTGGTATTCATATTGATCCATTGGGTACCAGTGCCTGGAATACGTTAATACGTGGTCACAAGCGGTGGTGCTTATTTCCCACGCACACGCCCAAGGACCTGCTGAAGGTCACCAGCGCTATGGGCGGCAAGCAGCGCGACGAGGCCATCACCTGGTTTAGCACAATTTATCCGCGCACCCAGCTGCCCTCGTGGCCGCAGGAATACAAACCCATCGAGGTGCTACAGTGTGCTGGCGAGACGGTGTTTGTGCCTGGCGGCTGGTGGCATGTGGTGCTCAATCTGGACGATACCATTGCGATAACGCAGAACTTTTGTAGCTTTACGAACTTTCCGTGTGTGTGGCACAAGACGGTGCGCGGTCGCCCCAAATTGTCTCGCAAATGGCTGCGTGTGCTGCGGGAGCAGCGGCCAGAGTTGGCTCAAATAGCCGAAAGTATTAATATAAACGAAAGCACGGGTTTCGCCTCCGATAGCTCGAGCAATTCGAGCTCATCCTCCTCGTCCAGCAGTTCCTCATCATCGGAGACTGAGGCGGACGCCGATTCAAATACGGATAGCGGCCAGGAAAGTCTCACAGCCAAGAAAAAGAAAAAACGGCGCATGGGCGGCAGCGGTGATGGCGGAGGTGCCATGGGCTCTTCGCGGTCTTGATGTCAACAGAAAGCGAAAAGGAATAGCCTGCTTTTGCGGCTGTTTCATCGTCAACTGTTGTTCTGCGGTCGCGTGCCGCGCTGTCAACGTTCGTCCGACCGCACATCCCGCCCAAGCTAGCAGCGCAATCCTGACCCTGATCATTTCTGCATGTTTTAGTAATATTTTTCTACATAGACAAGTAAACGTGTTGCTGTAAAAATAAACTATGAATTATCCCCGGCTAGACCAAACAGCCGCTTAATATTAGCTCTAAATAGTCAATTTGATGTTTAATTAATTTCAAGTTGATCCGCCAAGGATAATTCGCCAACGACTTAAATGCAACATAAATAAATTCAATATATTTGTAAAAATCTGCACTGCGTTTCGTTGATGGAATATATATTCCGGTTTCTAGTGAAATGTGATCTTAATGATCTAGACTAAGGTTCCTTCTGCTTGGGCGTTAAAAATGCGTTTAATTGGTTTTATACAAAAATGTGTCATCTTTTTATTGTAAATTTGCATTCTTATAAATTGTTTCCCATGTAACTTAAAAGATGTAGCAACAAATTAAATTGGTCGTGGAAAATAAATCGGCAAGTAATATAGAAAAATAGCAAAAGACCAAAAATTAAAAAATTTGACAGGCTATTTAAAATGTTTAAATAATAAAATTTATTTATGGAACATAAGCAAGCACATGGTCCTTAAAAAATCACCTTTTAATTTGCTACAATTTATTATTCATACATAATTATTTTTAAAAGCTTCTCCCACGCATTCCATAAGTTTCCCGTTTTTTATTTCTTATTGGCGACCTGCGTGCGTCTACGTTGAATTTTTAGAAGAGGTTTTGCACTTTGTTTTTATTAAAAAATATTTTTTTTTTTGCTTTATTTTTTAATTTAGTTCCTTTTGTTTTCATTTACGATCTATTGTTTATCATTGTGTAGAAATTGGAAATTGCGCTCGCAGCTTCGATTTGCTTACTGTCGTTTCTGTTTGTCCATTCTAAATTTATATTTGTTTTGTTGTTAGCCAAGTTCTTTGTTTTGTTGTGTGGTTGTTGAATTCTGTTTGTTACTTTGTGGTTTATGTTAATCATGACTTAATCAATATACTGCGCTAACCAACGGAAACCCTCGCCATAGCCCTGTCGCTTTAGCACGGAGCACATAAACAATTCCAATGGGCGACCAGGCAATTCGGAGCGTGCAACTTTGCCCTGCGATGCCGTAACCAAAAAAGAATATTAATTAAATATATTGAGAGACAATATTAAACTAGTGTAGCTATACCTTGCCGGTCGTTAACTGATACAGTCCGAACACATTTCTCAGCTCATCCTCGCTGGCCGCGCCAGGCTTATCAATTTTGTTGCCCAATATGAGCACGGGGCAGTTGGAGAGCGCCTCATCTGTGAGCAGCGAATCCAGCTCGTTTTTGCTCTCCTGGAAGCGGCCGCGATCCCAGGCGTCTATCAAAAATACGATGGCATCTACAGCTGGGAAGTAGTCCTTCCAAACACGACGTGCTGCAACAAAGCAAACACAAATTAGTAACTGAACAGACTTATCTAAACAGCCCAATTACATGACTAAATCAAACACAAACATGCCGCTCCCGCCCCCATTGATATCAGTCACGATTTTATTATCATAACGCTGACGCTCGACTGTTTAGTGTCTCTCACGCAAAGCAAATACGGCTCTGTCTAAAAATCGAGCGTAACGCTGACAGCGCTACTTGGGCTCTTTAGACCTCTATTATATGTGTGATATACGTGAGCTGCGCCTCGCTGCTCGCTTATCAATAATATATGTATGTATATATGCGCACTCGCTAGCCAGTTTGCGCCATCTAACACTTTCCAGCTTTATTATATAGACTTGAGCTATTCTTATATATACTAACAGTATAGTATATTATATGCATGTGCTTATATTTGTTGTTGATCTTGTGCAGTTTTTATATTTGATACGGCAACTTAGGCCAGTCTGCTTGATATAGCACATTTTCTAATAATTATTCCAGGCACAGTGGTTATCAGTTTAAGGGAATCAAAATCAATGGTTCGATTTACGGTCTAAGCCAACATATTATCTTTAGCTTTGCCTAACTTTTTTTATATTATCAAATGTTAATGAAACCACTCGATTTGCCTGTTCTGAAAATCGATCTTCGAACCGATTGAAAAGCGTTTAAAGTTTGATATAACACAAACTGTTACAAATTTGAATATTACATTGTTTGTTCGTTTTTGAATATTCTACTTGAATTTACAGCGAATATTCATTGATACTATCAGTAAAATTTTCTTATAGTTTGACCGAGTATATAACAAACGACAATTAGCGAAGTTGTAAAAGTAAGGATCAAGTTCGTATCCAATAAAGGAAACGGTCCGTTAGTAGAGTTTTCACTGTACAATGAAGCATAGTTATAATTATTGTATAACAATTACAAGCGGTTGTTGACCACAGTAGCAAAATTGTGTTCAAGAGCAAACTATTTATAAAAGCTTCCAGTTTCAAGCATATGTATTAATTAGTTTCCTATATGGTAGATATCTGTTTTGTCGTAATACAGATTAACTATGCCTTACATGCAGATATATCTATATATATCTTTAGACATTTGCTGTTCTTGTTTTTTTTTTTTTTTGCTAAAAGAGTGAACGCAACAACTGGCAAAAATTACAACGTGTTTCGCTTGCTGCTAGTATGGGTGCCCCCCTGTGCTATATTTTACGCTGATTGTTTTGTTGTTTTTCTGTGCTGTCTTTGTGCTATGTATATGCATTGCGCTATATTTAGAGAAAGAGCACGTTTTAACATGCGCATTATTTATGATTTTAATAAGGTCTTAGATGATTGAATATGCGGAATCTTTTCGAATTGTTCCGTCTTTAATCCGACCTTAACTTACCCTGAGTGTGTCCACCCAAGTCGAATGTAGTGAAACGCATATTGCCTATGGACAGCTCCTCGGATGCTAAGCGGGGCAAATAAAGACGTTTTATTGTAATACATAATATAGTAGCTGCATTTAAGACTTACTTGGATGCAGTGTTGGCACATGCTGCGCCAGCTTATCATCTTTGAGCATATGCAATAATGTGGTCTTACCAGCATTATCCAAGCCAAGGAACAATAGTTTGCCGGACTTTTTCCATAGACCTGGGTATTTCAAATGGTTTTCAATGATTATTAATATATAATTCAAATAAAAATAATAATAGCCTGAGCGTTTGCCAGTCAATGCCAATGTTAAGGTCAAACCGACTTAACTAAATCGACATTAATTAAAAACCAACAGCTTCACCAATACACGCATCAAATTGACCCGCATACAGCTGAAACATTTCGTTTAGCTTTTGTTGTCTGCTTCGGCTGTTGCTATTGATGTTGTTGTTGGTGCTGCGGATTTGTTGGCAAACGCTCAAGAAAAATCGCTCATGTAGCAATGTCAAATTCCATTTGGCCCAGACGCTTACCTAAGTATCCGAGAACACCCGTGAACCAGTCCCAAATGAACATCTTGGCTTGTGCTGTGGTTTCTTGCGGGAGTAGCAAAAGGCTGAGTGTGTGTTTGTTGGGGGGAAGTGCGGTGCTTTACTGAAAAAAAAAAAAAAATTGGAAAATGGGGTAAACACAAAGCAAGACAAGGAGAATGTGAATATGCGTAGCAAGTTCAATGTCCAGCTGCAGTGAAACACGACGCGGCACTGTTTTTGTTAATAATAATCAATTTGCTGTCTCGTTCGTAACCTAAATGCGACCAAAGTCAAGTACTAATTGTATAGCAAACGCTTAACGTCCGGTTTTTTTTTTTTTTGGATGCGAGTGCAAGCAGCCTTGACATAATTAAAATGAAAAATGCTGTTGCGCTCAGGAAACAATATCTGACCGATTATAATTAGGTTAAAAACCTGTTTAGGTTCTTTGTCAAGCTCTAGGCAGCACTTTCTTTCTTTGCATGCGTGTAAGTTTGTGTGTGTTAGCGACTACGGCTTTGTATGCATGTATGTATGTGTATTATGTACGTGGTTAACACGCATAATACTTTGTAATTTTCATCAAATTTTTGTTAATTTCGTAATCTTGCACTTTGGAGCTAAGCATACTCTGTGTGCCCCACAAATATGTCAATTTGCCGCACCCTTGGCGCTCGCGCCATTCAATTTATTGGACTGGCTTTATATGTATAAAAACAGCAGACATGACAATCTGATTTTGCACTACGTGGACACACACATTTCTAGTTGCCTCTGGATTCGGTCTTTTGATTGCACGTTGCCGCGTCGCTTTGCTGCACTAGCTACAATGGATCGCTGTATAATATGTTGAACTATGCGTGTGCATTATATGCATTTTTCGTTTATTATTTACGAGTTATTATTATTTATTACTTTTTCTGCACACGTTGTATCGAATCGTTCGGAATAAGTTCAATCGAACGACTCACTAAACTGAATGAACGAATGTCGTTCATCTAGTTCGTTACAAATAAGAAGAAGGAAACACTCAACATGTTATCGGACTGTTTTGAACAGTAGGGAAATATTTGCTCGTAAAATTCAAATTTCTGACTCAATCGCTTAATAACAGTGCCCTACAAAAATGATAGAAGACATGTTATTGCCAGTAAACTGATATTTTCTATATATTCTCTATTTGCTGTTAATTTAAAGTGCGCTTATCGATATATCGATGAGTTATCGACTTAAGTACAATCGATACTAATTTACTTAACAACGATAGTGAGCAAAGTTGGCTGCAATTGAGCAAAAAATGCTATTCGGCTTAGAGCACTGGCAAATTGCGCGCGCTAGTTTAAAATATTTCTTTTGAACAAAAAGAGAAAGTAAATAAGGTGCTATTTTATATATGAGTAGGTTGCTTTCAAAAAAGACTATATATATTCTTAATTCATTCAGCCACAGAAAAAAATAAATTTCTGATACGTTTTTATATAATCAAAATGACTTTATTGTACCTTTTGGCAAAAGACGACACTTTTTGCAAATCCATTTATTTAATTTAACATTTAAAAATTTTTTAAATTGTTTCCATGTACTTCTGCTTCACTCAACTGTCCGCATCTTCTGCAGAATAATATCCTCCACCTGGACTCCATCGGGCGTGTCGAGCGCATATAGAATTGCCTTGGCCACATCGACGGCCTGCAGCTTGGGCAATTCATCGACAGCCTGAGAGTAAACATTCAGAAAATCGGTGTCCACCATGCCAGGGCAGATGCTCTGTGCGGGCGAAAGAAGACGCGTCACATATGTTTGCATATAACATGCGGGGCTCCAAGCGCCAAACCCTACTCCCAGTTGGGTGCAATGTATGCACTGCATTTAACTTACCGTTAATTTAATATTTAATTTGAGAAAATGTATTTCCTGGCGCACCGTCTGGCAAAGTGCTGTAATTGCATGCTTCGTGGCCGGATAAACGCTGAATAAGGGCACCGGCACTTCCGGTATGCGATGGCCCAGCACGCTGTCGCCAATCATGAGAGAAAGAGAGAGAGAGAGAGAGATAGAGATGGAGTAAGAGAAGGAGTGGAAATCGAAATAAGCATGTTTGATATGTAAAATAAGTGAAGTCAACGTTGGTATGCAGTGAAAGCGCTTGAAACAAGAACAACTGCGTTTGGCAACTGCAGAATCCATCATGAAAAAAATGATGGTCAACAGCTGTCGTTGATTTCTGCGTGTGAAAGAGGCGCTAGCCTGTGCAGGCAGTGAGTGCATGGACCCGGCACCGGCATCCGGAACCTCAATCCGGCGAGTGTTGTCGTTGGGCATTTTATGCAAACATTGCGTAAACTTCTTTTTATTTAACAGTGTCTGAGGCAGTATTAAGTGCAAACAGCGGTGCCAACTGGAGTCCTCGGCCAGCGCATCCTCATGCAATTTTAATTAATTAAGTCTTAATATTATTGCATTGACATTAAGCGCAATGCATATTGACGGACATGCCCACAGCCACGCCCACAAGCCCCTACCCGCCACGACGTTCGTTCATTAGCAACGTCCCAATGCATGCGTACGCCTTTTGTCGTTGTTTTCACTGATTATACTCTAGCTAAGGGTATAGTAATTTTGTCACCACAGATGGTGACTTTTCCAACAACATAGTGTCTTTATGTCTATGCAGATTCTTTATTAGTATTAACAGATGTCTGTCTTATTTTTAGAAAAACTGGTTTCTTAGTACGTATGTCCAAGTTCACCGAGTTGGGTCGCTTTGCCTTTCAAAGGATCCATAGTCAAAATGTGAATCTTTTTATGCTTTTTAAGATATCTGTCAAATATTGTTAAATCGCATTAATATATTATATGAGGCCCATAGGAAGTATCGGTCGGACATCAGGCCTTTGCGTAAAACAGTTTCTACAAGAGTATTCAATCTTCGGCGTGCCAATAAGACGTCTTTCTTTTTGGTTTATTAATTTGGTTTTTTTTTCCAACAGCATTCACATTATATTAATTTTCTCATTAATTAACGTTGAAGCTCGTGAGTTTTCTTTTGTTGCACTCCGCACGCTGTTGCTCAATTGTATTTGATTACGGCGGGCATTCCAATATATGCGACTGTCTTTTTCTTTGCTCATTAAAAAAGCAAATTGTGCGCCTGGGGACAGCAATTTAAATTCATTCGCAAGCATGTGCCAACGGCCAGGCAAAAAATATGCATTTGCGTATAAATAAAATAATTATGAACGATAAAGAATTGCTCTACTTATGAAGCAGACTGTGCCTGGGGCCGAGCTAGCCCTGACTTGTTAAGCCTGTGGCTGCATGAAGTTGCCTGCTGATCGATTTGACCAATATTCAATAATTTGTAATTGATTTTGATTGGCAAGCTGCAGGTCTGGTTTTGCTTGACCAAATGTTGAATTTGGCATATGTCTGGCGCACAGTGCGTATGCGTAATAATATAAATTATATTTAATTGTTTACACATCTAATTGTTGAAACCTGTCTATGCGTGTGTGTGTGTGCCCTTCAAGTAAGTTCCATTAAAACGAAATCAATTCAATTTTAATTTAAAGCCAAAGCGCGCATCAAATGACGCGGCTTAATTTTGATTTTAAATGCGTTGCGCATTGGAATTCATGAAATAAAAATCAGCAGACATACACAAACACCCACCCCCTCACGCACACACACACAGACGAATGCACATTTATATGCAGGCTGCTTAATGCAAAATACTTAATTATGTTGAATAATTGAGTTGTTGTTGTTGTTGCTGATATTTGCGGAAACACTTTCGCCATGGCGATGCAAATGCAAAGCTTTTAATGCACAGAGCAACCGCAAAGCAGCATCAACAACAACAACAACAACAGCAACAACGGAACAGAACAGTAATTGCGGGAATCGCAACATTTAAATATCAATAAATGTTTGCTTGTTTGTGCCATGGCTTTTAATTTAATTTAAATAACGCGCAATCGTCTCGTCTCCACACAATGCCGAAGCACAGCTCATGAAAAATGCATGTGCTGCCCAACACTGGCCAATCGCACTATTTGCACTTTCATTAGCCCCCTAGACACGCACACACACACACACACGCACTTATACACAATATACTAAATACGGACATAATTTTCGCAATGCTTTGGCACTCAAGGCAACTTTGGTCAGTTGTTTGTCCATTGCAAGCAACTGCTATTAAGCAAATACAAGTGCAAGCTGCGAGTGTGTGTGTGTGTTAGTGGGTTTCAGTGTGCGTAAGTGCATTGTGATGATGCATGACCAACAATTTAAGCCTAAGACTCATTTTGCTATTTTAGCTGGACAAACATCATTTACAAAACGAAAACATACTCTCGTCCCTTCAAACTATGCTAAGCGATAATTGTGCTAATGCTGTAGTGCAATCAGGCAATTTGAATGGAAATTTGTTGTCATTTGCAGTCGAGTGTATTGGTTTTGTGACTTGGCGGCATGCCTAACGTGTGTCCTATTTAATTATCGAGCCAAACTGACAAGCTAACAGCAGAGAATTCTAGCCAAACAATATTCATTAGCATTGGACATTTTAACTATTGAAGAAAATCCCAAATTAATGAAATTGTTACGGAAAGTTACCAGAAAGAGGAGTTATCAAAATAAATCTCCTTTGTTTTCGAAAATTTAAAGTGAACGTGTTCAAGAAGGCTGCATAAAGAAAATAAACATTTTTAAATGATTAAATATTGAGTGTTAAACAACACTTAAGCAGAGCTTAACATATCGTAAAAGTTGATGGTGTTGGAAAATATACCTCGCTAAGATAATGAGAATTTTACAACACTTGTAAAACAAATGAAGTATCGCTTTTGTAAATCGAAATCGACTGTCAACTTAAATTTGGTTACATATGCTTAGCAATATTTGTTGAATTGTGTGAATCTTGTTAATAGTAAATTAAAAAATGATTTTCAAATTACCTGTTTATAACGATAATGTGGCAGCGCACCTTTGTTGCCGCCATATGCTTGAGAGTTTCGCGCAAACAGCTCGCGGTGGCGACCACATTCAAATCGAATAGTTCCTTAATGTCCTTGGTTGGTGATTCTAGGAGTAAAGCATATTGCAGTTCTTTCGCATATTTAGCTCACAATCTGACCGGATTTACCACTCAGAAAATTCGCCTTAAGTATGCCCGCATTGCAGACGAGCACATGTATGCAATAGAAACGCTCGCGTATCCAGTTAAAGGTGCTGATCAGCTGCTCATCATCGCTGAGATCGCATTGACGCGCAAAGATTTTGCCCTCGCCAGTCACTTGAGCGTTGAGAGCCTGCAACGTCAGCCCTGCAGTGAAAGCTATTTCAAAGAACTGCAAACAGGACGCTCACCTCGATCAGATCGACGCGCCTAGCCAGGCCCACCACAACCATGCCAGCATTGGCTAGAGCTAACGCCGTGCTGGCACCAATGCCCACCGAGGCGCCGGTAATGACAGCCACCTTGTTGCGCCAGTAGAAACTGTCCATGTCGATAGATAGATTGACAGCGCTCGCCAGAGATAACCCAACAGCTGCGTGTGCCTAGAGCAACTGATCTCGGAGGCTGTACGCTATCGCAGCCAGAGCAATCGCAGCAGTTGCCTATTCGCTCGGTCGGCGGCTTTGCCAATTGAATAGTTCAGGGTCTGCGCTCGCTTCGATTGACTTTGCAGACTTGCACTTATCGCATTTAATTGTTTACAATTAACTCTTGTCATATTGTGCTCTATTTTAAGGCCTCCCACCTTACTGACAGCTGGGTGTTGCCTGTATACCCTGTGCATGCAGTAAGATTCAGTAGAGGCAGCATATAGATTTTTTTTGATATTTGATGCGAATAGTTTTATTAAAATGTTTGGAATATGTTATCAATATATTTGATACACATATCTAGGCAATATTCGTGTAAAACTTAGCAGCAGATAAACCAAATTTTGCCTGAAGAAATTCTGAAATTGAATATGAACCTCCAGCTCACTAAGCTTATATATTTTTATAATAAAATATACTTATATGCTAAGCTCCATAGTTCTCAGCATATTTATGTCAGTATTAAGAGGGAATTTTCTAGTCAGGCATAGCCATTCATACCTGCTTTGTAGAAATTTGATACAAAATGAAATTCTCATTTTGTGTGGCGGCTTTGGTTTTGTTTTGTCACTAATCTCCAGTGGTTGACACTTGCGGCTTATGCATTTCCATATTGCACAACTAAATGTGGACAGTGGGCACTCGCTAAGGCTGCGGGCTCTTTTCCAACTGGTTAGTCATGTCAGAGTGCGCACTGTTGCCACAGCGATTTGCCTACCTATGTTTCTGGGTACATCATGTCTATTACATATATTTTATTTGCTTCTGATAGTGCCTTCTGCTTGAAACGGTTTCGTTCATGCGGTAAACCTTATCATATTTTTGTTGTTACTCAACAGCAGCTTCGGTTTCAGCTGCCTACCGCATTCTTATGGCCTCCCAGCAAGCTGAGAGTACTTGCCACGCCCGACTGAGTCCGGAGCAGCAAAGCTGCTGTCAAGCAAATCAGAGATGATATTTATCAGTATGCACTACAAAACCTAGAGTTTTCTAGTAGACTATGAGATACCTCGTGTTAAAAAGTGCTTATGTTGATTTGCCCGAAAATCCTTACACGCGACAAACTCTGATTAGTCTAGTGCCAGTGTTGGTCAACTTCAGCGGCTTATCAAGCATTGTGACAACTTTACTTTTTACAATGAGAAATTCTTGTGCTGTTTAAATAACCAGACTGTCAACAGAGCGTAGAGAAACCTGGCGTGAATTAAATACTTTAAGGTTCGAATTTTAGTTAAGCGTGCGTATACATTTGTTAGATTACGACTTCAGTTTATAAAATAATTTCAACTTATTGAAATATACCCCAACTAGCCTTCAGATGTTGGGTATAATTTGTATGCAGCAAGAAAGTGAAGCGGCAATTGTAAAATGCAAAATGCAATTCAAAAATTCATCTAAAAATGCACTCGACTTAGAGTTTGTCAGTGCAGTGTTGCAGATGACAGCAATAAAATGCAGGTGCTGCATCTCAAACCGAGACAAGTGGGTTTTATCTGTGCAATTCAATGGTCAAGCCCATGCATTGGGTACAGTTGACAACACTGTTAACTAACAGCGTCTATGTGCAATTTATATAACATTTGCTTTGGTTGCTCGTAAAAGAAACTTTGATTAAACTTCAAATAAACGAAGGCTGTCGGCAATAAACAGTCGCTGCTGGGTATTCAATTTTATTTGGTGGTTTTTGGCATCACACATACATGCCACACACACACACACACAAGCACACAACAGCACAGCTGGTGGCATAGTCATCAAAGTGGCAGCCATTTAAGCTGTACAAAAGCACAATTGCCAACATTTTCAATGCGCTTCCCCACACCGAAATTGATAGAAAATTGGCAGGCAAAGTGTTTTTAGTTTTGCAACAATTTATTTGCTGTTTCTTTTTTTTTTTATATTTTGATTCTCAGTTCGACGTTGTTGTTGCACGTTGGGGAGCGCCTCGAAATAAAACAAATAAATGGCAAAAAAATCGCGCATCGTGGTGAAATTTATTGTTGCATACTTTTCGGCTCAGCGCGCTGGCATGCAAAAATAAAATTGTTGTTGCCACATGTTGGGGCATGTTGTTGGTCTTGTTTATTTTTCGGTTAAACCCAAATATGCATTTTTCATGGGCTCTGCGCCGGCTGCTTCTGCTGCTGCTCCGGTTGTTGTTGCTATTGTTGTTGCACTCCTTTTAATTGTAATAACATTTGTTGGGCACACGATTTAAATTGCATTTATGTTTGGCAATTGGTCTGAGCTCTGCTGCTGTTGCTTGGCTTTTTATATAACTCATACGTCACGTTGCCCGCCGCCGACTGTCGCCGCTGGCGGGATTTTCGCTTTCACAATCTAATAAAAAACGCGCTCGCTGCCGCAAGAATAAATTGAAACAATGGCAACGAAACAAATCAACTGTTCGTCGTCTGGCGTAACGAGGCCAAATTAAATTACAAACTTTTCTTTTAAGCAAGCAATTTAATTGAATTGCTTCATCCACACCCACACACACACACAGTAGCTGGCAATTTTTTTGTGTGTGTCTATTGCATTTAAGTGCGCACACACAGTAAAACTCTTTAGCTTTTGCTAACAACCGTAACAATACTATAACTAAAAGTTTTCTATAATAAAATACCATATGGTTAATCACAACCTGGGGCTAGGGTTTCTTCAACTGAAAGGCCCTGCTATTTTACACTAAACTTAATCTGAAGCGTTTTTCTATTACTTTTGACTTCGTCAAAGTATTCAAAGGCGTTTATTTTTTTTAATTTTTAATTTTAATTCTATAAATTATTGTTTTGGCGATACAATTCCTTTACATGTTAGCAGTGATTCAATATAATCTTGTCATGATATAGGTTAAACATTGAAGTAGCTGCCTCCGATCCTTTGTAGTACATATACACATATGTTTATGTTAAGTTTTTCTGTATGTCTATCCTTTTCTATGCAAGCTTTCATTTAGTTTAAAAGCTATTTTGACAAAGCTTGATCCATTATATCATATGGTAAATTTATCGGAATTATTGATCGTATATCAACATCCTATATAAATTTCTTTAATTTTAGAAATCAACATTTTTTTGTTAATATTTTTTTAAAGTTTTATTAAATCATATTTTTGGATTATATTAATGCATATGGTTTAAATATTCCTACAACTTCGGTCGGTATCTTATAAACTGAAAAATATGATGTTGCCTTTCAGAACATTGCTTAAGTTTAAGAGACATACCGCAAGGTATTTAATCAACCTAGCTGGGGTATTTATACATCGGCACCGTAAAGAGAATTATTCTCTTTTATATCCATTAAGCACTTGTGTAATTAACGTAGAAGTTGTGCCTGCAACTAATCATTAATCAAATGTGTGCTTAAGAATTTAATTAAGTACCACGCCCACATTTACACCTTTATAATTGACACGTAGACAATAGACGACTGTTAAACAATTATTTAAGGCACATGCATAGTCTATGAACAAAGGTCGTTCTGTCGACTGTCTGAAGGGGAGGCGGAGGCAACTGCCGAATGTTGGACCCGAAAACTATGCCAACAATTTTAATGTTAAATGCCAGCCGGTATTAGTGGTTATTGTTGTTGTTGCCGTTGTTGTTTGCTGTTTTTATGTAGAGACAACTTTTGATTAAATTAAAATTTATTTTAATTAAACAAGCGTCGCAAATGTCTCATTTACGCATCGATGATGTGACAGGCAAAACACGCGTGTGTGCGTGTGTTTGAGTGTGCGTGTGCCTGTGTGTTTGTGTGTGTGTGTGTATGTTAGTCTGTCTGTTTTTCAATGGCAGCAACAAATTTGCTTTTAGCTCGCATGTTTTGTGGTCTGCTGACAATTTGCACACGACCAAAAAAATTCTTTTCGCTGACATTTTTTTTGTTTGCAACAACAACAGCAACAAGCAGAAGTGCTCCAGTCGGATGTGCCTGACCAGGAAATACCCTTTAGCTAGCGTCAACCTGTTGTTACAAATACATCCGCACTATACTATTAGAAACGTATTCTAGCATAACTTCGGTATGCAAAGTCCGATTTTATGAAATGTTGGGGGCATATCTACGGCGCCTTAATGTTCGTACAATCCGAAAGCTACAAATTGTCACCAAGGCGGCGTATATTGTATTAACAATCTTGAGAGGAACGGGGAAGTTTTATCTATAAAGTAAAATTTCTAGATCTTTTGCTATACGAAAACCCACATATAACATTTTGCTTCTAGCTACGAGATATGCTCTCTGAAAATAATATCGATATCGATTTCTATCAATTTCATGGCAATAAGCGACGATTATCGATGATTTCAAATGAACCTGATGGGTGCGTATTATACATACATATATATACATTTTAGACGGACAAACATAGCTGATCTTTGTGGCTTTTGATGCTGATCAAGTGTATATATACTTCTTTAAGATACTTCCTTCCGCCTGTTTGGTACATAAGCTGTAAGCAACCATAACTTTCTTTTACGGGGTATAACTAAAGCAGCTGTAGCTTTATCTATTTAACTGCCAAAAGTATGCAAACCATTTTTGGCTGGCAGACAAGTAAGCTAAATGGCGCATCATGCAGGTGCGGGTTGGTGGGTGTTTGTTTCCACTAAGTGGCGCCTAAGCTCGCGCTTAAGTGCAACTAATTAGCCTAGATTTTGGGCCAAGTACGCATGCAGCTGCTAAAGGCTGCAATAACATGTAAGTTGCTGCTGTGCTTGTTATTGTTGCCTGTTAATTGCGCAACGTTTGCCGCTAAGCAGCGAGCGCAGCCAGCGTAAAAACTTTTTGGCATTTGCCACGCGAAACCGGGCTTGTTGTGGCACTTTATTAGCTCTGCTCCTGCTTGGCTTGGCTATTAATTGATGTTATTTATGACTGACAGACGGCAAGACATGCATTTGTTGCTGCTATTGCTGCTGCTGTGGAGGAGGCGCACCTGCGTCTGGCCATAAGGTGTGCAATGTTATTTTCATTACGTGAAAACTTTGCGTTTACTTTTGCCACACAGCTAGTTGCAAGTGTTTGGCAATTAGATGCAAGCATGTTGAGCATTTCGGCTGCTGCCTTCATTAGAAGGTTTTGTGGGAGGCTAAGGTATTTTGAGGTTAACATTAAAACTCCCCTTAAAGTAGTAACTAGGTGTGCATTAGGCAGCCAGTAGCCAGGCCAACTTACACTTATGTCTCATGCATAGGATTTTTTACGAGATCTAGAATGCTTTAGCTATATATATTTCTATTTGTCTGCTTCTATGCAAACTGAGCTCTTAGTTCTAAAACCATTTTCAGTTGACTCACCATTTTCGTGGTTCAGTAAGGGTTGCAAAGCAAAATCTTTTCTAGTTGGGACTAGTATATCTATTCGATGGGAACAATAACTCGGATATTAACAATTTATACTCTTTAAGAAGGTATTATAGTTTTGTCATGAAATATGTAATGTAAAGGAGACATTGTTGTTCACCATCTACAGCCGAGCTATTATAGCCATGTTCTCTTGTTAATTTCTGGCCAACTAGTCTCTCAAATTTAGAGCTATCTTCAGGAAAAAGGTCCATTATTATATTGCGGGCAGTAGATGAGTCGTTCGGCACTGATGTTCGAACTTGAATTTTCTTAAGTATTTTAACCAAACTCAGCAATGTCGCGCTTCACTTCGTTCCTAACTTGCAACATTCTTTCCCATCTAAGCTATATGATACTATTCTATTGCTGATGAAAGTGTTGCTGACTCAATGAAAACATTATAAAACAAGTTTAAGAAAATAAGATTGCAGTCCCAAAAAATAGTCGCCATTTCGGTTAATAGCTACAATGCTGATTTGTAAGCTATCTTATTTATATCTTATAAATATTTGACAACTTAGCATATCGAATGTTTAGATTATATAGTTTATAGAATAGCATCACACACACTGCAATGTCTGCAAGGGTATTTAAACTTCGCTGTCGCCAAAAAAAAATGTAATTTCTCTGTAATTGCTAGAAGCGTGCGCTCGTGCATGTCGTCGGAGATTCTGGTCTGCACTGGACTGGACTGCAGGACGTCTCGACTGCTGCAGGCATAAATCACGTGCGCCGCACAAGAAACTTTTGATTTGTGAAATCAAAAGCTATTTGCTGCGCTGCAATCAGCACAAACATTGTAGCAGTAGCAGAAGGCAGGAAAAACTTTTGCTTTTTGGCATTCGTCAGATATGGATGCCAAGCAGCAGCAGCAGCAGCAGCAGCAGCAGTAGCTGCAGCAGCCAAATCTAAATCCAAGTCCATATCCAAGTTCTGCTCTGTCTGAAACTTTTTCTCTTGTTGTAAAGTTTTTAATAGTTTGTTGGCGCTTTCGCTGATTTGCTGTTGCAAACTTTGTCGCTTTCTTTTCTTATTTTTTGTATGTTTTTGATATTTATTTTTTTTTGGCTTAGCAGCTGATTTAAAGCAGACACAGTGTAATTCCTTCGAAATGCATTCGCTAAATTTCAATGGACCGGCTAATGAAGCGCCTTGAAGCTGGCAGCTCTAAGCCAGTCACATTTCACTCAAGCCTCTTAAGCCGCAATTTCACTAACCTCCCGCTCTCTGCTGCTCACTTGCAGCATTCTGTACCAACACACTTAATCTCGCACGTGTCCACTATAATTTGGCTTTAG